AATTGTATATTAAATATTGAATATTAACGAGAATTTGAAGTTTCTGATTAAAATATTTAATATTAACAAAAATATAAAGTTACTTATTAAAATATTTTTGTATTTTATTTTTTTAATTTTTTATTATATTTTAAAAACAAAAGTGTGTGTACCACACCAGTATCTATGAGAACGTATGGATAATACACTAGTGAACACATGATAATTAGGTCAAAATTCGTGTGAACGCACATGTCACATCGGTACCGTGTGAATGTACGAGTAACCAGACTAAAATATGTGTGAACACACGGATAATAAGGGTAAAATTCGTGTGGACACATATGTTATTATATTTTAATACAATTAAAGAAAATAAAAATAAAATATTTAAAATAACGTATAAATCAAAACACGAGAAAAATGTAATATTTTTTAATTATTTATATATCTAATATTTTTATTTTGTAATTATTTTTAATTTAAAATACAGTAATTTTTAAAATAATATATGAATATATATTATTGATGTTTTTCTTTAAAAAATTAAAAATTAATATAATTTTGTTTTTATTTTAAAAATATATATTTCTTTTAAAAATATTAAATTATTTTGATTAAACTATTTTATTTTTTATTTATATTTTTATTATATTTTAAAAATAAAAATATACCTACCACACTAATAGCTATGTACGAGTATTCCATTAATTTTAAGATATAAAAAAATAAAAAATAAAAAAACGTTTTTTTTAATGAAACGAGGGAGTAGCATATATGATTCACATGTGCCAAGGGAGTAGAGTAAGAAGGAAAATGTCCTATCAAAGCTAGTAAGCATGAGAATGAAAACATAGAAAAAAAATTTCATTCAAGAAGCACTTGAGAGACCTAGTCTCTCCACAAGAGGCGCTATGACAACATGAACAACATAATTGTCATTAATCATCCTGATAATGACATATATTTAGAATGTTCTGGCAAAAGAAGAACACGGTCGTCCTCAATTATTGAGGGAAACTATATACTCCAAATGTCTTTCCATCATCACTTTTGATTTTTTTAGCATGATGAAGTCTTGGACTATATCCCCCCATAACGATTTATAAATAATAATTAAATTTTTATATTTAATAAGAAAATTTAAATATTTGTGTTTTTTTAAAATATGTTTTTATAGAAACATGTAAAAATAATTTTAATTGATTATTGTTTATAGAAAAAATAAAAGAGAAAATATATTTAATGTAATTTACATTTAATTTTATATTGGAAAAAGATGTATTTTAAGAAAAAGATGTTTAAATAAAATTAAATGAATGTTTTTCGTTTATAAATTATATTCTCTCTATTTTAAAATAATTATCGTTTAAAATTTTTACACAGAAATTAAAAAATATAATAATATTATCATAAAATATTACACTTTTATAAAATTAACATTATTAATGTATTGGACGTAGTTTCCAAAATAAAAAGTAAATATTACAATTAAAAAAATTATAATTATTACTATATTGAAAACTGAAAATAACATTTATTTTAAAATAAATTTTATTTATTAAAACGATAGTTATTTTGAAATAAAGAACTAACAAGAAAAATGTGTTTTTTTTTTAAACCGTTACTGAGAGAGAGAGGATTCAAGTAGAGGTGTGCATTGATTGATTATTTTTAGAAATCAAATCATAATCATTTTTAAATCATTTAAATGATTTAGTTTTATAATTATAATCACATTTTAATCAAAATCGATTATAAATTTAACTATAATTATATATCTAATTTTCTTTTAAAAATTCAGTATTAAATGATTTTTATATACAAAGCATTTTTAAATTAATTATTTATAAATTTGGAAAAAATAGATTATATTTTGATTTATAATTCAATTATCTTTTAAAATTAGTTATTAATTATTTTTATAAAAAAATTATGAATTTTTTTTCCCTTTTTCTTATATCATAATATTTTAAAATAAAATAATTAATTAAAAATAGCCTCTTAATCGTGTGAACTAGACTAATAATATTGTTAATCATACTTTAACCCAATTTACTTCGAGAAATACCAATAAAGAACACTGCTAATGTCAAATATTATACAGCATGTATGTATGTAAGTTTTTAGGACAGTGAAAATTTAATATAATGTACTACTTTTTAAAGAAATTTATTTTTCTAGATATAACTATAATTATTTAAGTTTAATATTTCCATCTACCTGTATGCGAATCTTGGTGTTGCCTTTAGTTAGATTGATAGCCAAAAATGTCAATAGAATCTGTAACTACATGAGAATTAGACACACCTTTGACTTTTGATGTCTTGGGTACGTTTTATAGTTGATTCACTGATACTCACTTGAACTTGTCTTGAAATTAACGGTAAAAATTTGTTTTTGATTGAATTTTGATTTTTCCGAATTATAAAATATAAAAATGCATCCGATAATAGAGATATTAATATCTACTTCGAACCCGTGTCTGAATCTGTCCTATTTATTTCATTATATATATATTTTTTATAATTTAAAATATTAAATATGTCATCAATATTCTGATAATTTGATTTGTATTTATTATTTAAAATATTTGAAATGTATATATGAAATTTTTTGATATTATTTCATTTTATTATTTATGATATAATTTGATTTTGGAAAAATTAATTTTTTTTTACTAAATGGATGATTATGAGACGGGGATACCCGAATCTGTTTGGGACGAATTTGAGTTTTAATTTTTCATTTTCATTTAGATTTAGGGTGGAGAACAGAAATCGTTTGAAAATTTGAATTTTAAGAAAGGTAAAAACCGTCTCAACTTGCTCCGTTGCCATGCCTACCACCTTTCTCCGTATTTCTCTCTAAATCTATCTATCTCTTTATAAATAATATAATATAATTATTTATTTAATAAATATTTGCACTAAAGTTACAAAATATGATACACTAAAGGCACCTAATCCTTTCCCCTTTTTGTAGATGATCACACTAGAGCGTGTGACACCAAATTATGTTTGTGTTGACATGCATCTTGTTCATGATCCTTCTTGTGTTAGATGTGTTATCTCAGTTGAATCAATCGTGTATAGGACTGATAAAGAATTGAACAATTCGAAAATAGTTTAAAATTTGATTAAATAATTCAATCGCTAAATTAAGTTTATGAATAAAATAAATTGAGTATGGGTTAAAAATTAAGTTTGTTAACTAAATAAATTGAATTTAAACTATATATAATTCGACTTGTTAGGTTCATGAATTAACTCGATCATATATGAGATATATTATATTCCTTTTAGATTTAAAGATTTTCTCGTAATCATAGTCATATATTTTCTTTTAATCTAACAATTTTTATTAATAATTTATATTCTTAAATGAACAAAATATTTTTAAAAATAATTATACAAATAAACTCAACATCGTATAAATTTCAATCTTATAATTTTTATTTTATTTCTATATCTTTTATTTTTAATTTTTTTTTAATGTTAAATATATAAAAATAATATATTTTAGAAAATGACTTTTAAGTTCGTGAAGCAAATGAGTCGAACCTAACGAGATGAACCTAATGAGTTAAATCGAGTTGTTCGTAAATTTCTAATAAATCGAGTTTGAATTGAAAAAAAATTCGTGACAAATTCGAACTAATATTTAAGTTAAACCAATTCTTAACGAGTCGAGCTGAGACGAGTTTGACTCGACTCAACTCATTTTCAGTCTAATTGTATATATTATTTAAGATTTTCAATGTTGAATAAAACAAACAAAATATTTATTTCAAAAATAAAAAATATTTTTTTCCAAAAAAAAATTTGAAAATAAAAATATTTTATTTATTTTGAAAATTAAAAAAATTATGATTAAAGTAAAATATTTGAATTAATTTTAAATTTTGAATAATAATCAAATTATAATGAAATCCAAAAATAAAATATAAACGAATAACTTATCATTAATAACTAAACCGGTTAATAACTATTTAATAATATTCAAATATTTAAATTGTTTTAAATTTGATTATGAATTTGAGCTTCACAACCAAATATTTTACACACTCTTATATTTAGGCAACATCTAGGAGGGAGGACCTTGACTAAAAATAGTCCTTATAATGGTCCGACGTTTAATAATTTACAATGCAAAAGAATATGTCATGTGAAAATTCTAACAACTCTAATAAATTTGTTGATAGTTTCACACATAAAAAAATTTGATACGTGAGACAAAAAATAATGATAACTTAAATCTATGACCTAAAACAACACACTGATATGTTATACGTGAAAACAAATACACAATAAGTTAGGATAAAATGAGAGACAAGAATACTGAAAAATTTATTTGTTCAATTTAATCTCCGGTAAAATAAACAGTTCTCTGACTCACTATACTTTCAATAGTTATTACAAAAAATTATAAAAGAGTTCCAAAAATCTATTCACTATACTCTGATGGAGTGGAAAGCTTTCTTCTTTTCTTTGAGAAACGTCTCAATGAACAATAATCTCTAAGCTATACATATTCTTAAATCAATCTCATTGCTTCCTATTTCAAAAATCCCCGCTTCAAAGCATATAATAAGTACTCAAGGAAGATTGTTTGGGCTGACCAATGACATATTAAAACCGATTTAATTCAATAAATGGTGCTCCATTCACTAATGCACATGTTGACCTTCACTTATGGACACTACATCCAACCATTATCCACACTCCACACTTAGGGACACTAAAATTTTGAGAGTATTTTTAACATTAATTAATTCAGTATTAATTTTTAATCATGAATTAATTCAACTAATAAGAAATTGCTGCTAATTAGCCTAGGGGTTAATCGCAGGACGGAGCCACCTTTGCAAAGCCCCGTTCATTTCCTCCTCTTCATCAACTCTCTCACTCTTCACTGACCAATTCCAATCGCAGCATAAACTCATCATCGAAGAATATCACAACAACTACACACTTGTAGATTCAATCGATTTCAGGAAGATTCGAGGGAAGAACAAGGACATGAGTTCTTCGGAGAATCAAGAAACCCCAAATGGAAGACTTAACAACACTTTTCGTCATTCTTCACCCTCTTCTTCTAATGATGGATGGAAAAAACGAATCCTTATTCCAACCCTACTTGCAGGTTTTTCCCTCTCTTAAACTCCTCTTTAGTTGCTTCTTATTAATATTATGTTGTTTTTATATGTGAATGTATGTGTTGTTGTGATGATTCTTACTTGAATGTGCCTGTTATACAACGTTGAACATGTTTTGTAATTGTAATTGAGGGATTTTGAAAGCATGATCTTGATATATGATTATGTGAATTGCACTGTGATATGTCAAATCTGATTTGTGAACTTGCCCTGCTTATGTCTATGATGGTCCTCAAGTAAGGTGTGAGAGGAGAGGAGGATCGCGAATGGGGGGGTCTATGACCCGGTGAAATGTGTCTGTCGTTGTAGTGTGGGGTTTGACAATCAAGTGTTGGTGGCACACAGTAGTTAGAGCATGATAGCGGAGGTAAGTGCGACTGAGTCTCCGGGAAAAATACTAGTAGCTCTGTAGCACCGACACCTCTGAAAAAAAGTGTGTCCATGTGATTGTCGGTGTCTGAAACCAACACCGGCACTTGTGTGATTACATGACACTTATGATTACATTTAATTTATTCCTTTTTTCAAATTATTATTGGTGTTGACAAGTCATCGGTATCATGTTTCTGTGCTTCATAGAATACTAGACCGTGGTGGTCTTATAGAGGAATTCCTATTTAAACATTTAAAGAAAAAGTTTACGTCTTGTGTTGGAATCCAGAGTAGTCAATAGCGGCCAATAGCGGTGCTATCCTGCTATAGCTGAGCGGAGGCCAGTCGCTATGGGAAGAACCTTAGCTGTGCCGAACACTATAGCAGCCACAATAGGGTAAATAGTGGGTAGCGGGGGAAGAGTGTTTCCCGGCCTGAAGCAGTTATTGTCCCGCTATTCTTTTCCCCTCTGAAAAACCAAAATTACCCCTTAAATTTAGAACGTTTTAAGGGTAGTTTTCGGTTTTTCAATCTAATTTGAGTTGAGACTCAACCCTAACCTTCCTTCACTGACGTTTTTGCACTTCAGCCGTTCCAAAGAAAAATCACAAATTCCTCTCTCACCTCTCTCACTTCATATATTTATAATTATTATTCATGTGATTTATCAAAAAAATGATTAAATAGTGGCAATCCCGCTATACGTTATCCCACTATCCCATTTTTAGGGTTGGCCGCTCCCTGCCACTATCCGGGATTGACTACTCTGGGAATCTAATACCCTGATGATTTTCTTCTCAAGTTTTTATATTGAGGTAGTTAAGTCACTGTAATTTGGGTAGTGGTGAATTATTTGAGTAGCTTACATATATGCTTACAATTATTATATTATACACCAAAAGAGATGAATGGTTGTTTCAATTCAGGTGTGTGATGTGAAACCATGAGAGTTCTAGACTCAAGTTAATCAAAACCATTTAGTTGTAGATATCAGTGTTTTCTAATAGTGGCTATAACGTAGAAGAATTTGAACAAATCGATATTGTTCTATGACTATGATACACAATTTAGACTAGTATAAAGCATTTTCAAGTAGCAGTTACAGTGGTGCTATAGCACTGTAGCATAGTGGAATTCGAGCAAACCACTATTTTTCATGATCAACAATTGACAAAATTTATACATAGACGATAAGATTCTAAAGCTCACCTCTTAGGTTCTTATTTGACATGGTCCTTATTTACATTGTAGTTTCTATGTATGTGTATCTTCAAGTTAGGTTTTCATGGGAAGAGAGAGGGTTAGAGTGTGTTTGTTCTACTGGTCTTTTATGAGTTTTTCTATTGTTAATCTTTGTGACTCTTTGAAGCAGGGGTTGCTGGTGCTGGAACTGGATTGATATCAAAACATCGAAAAAGTCTTGGTCTTGCTAACGTTTCTGCCAGTTATGCCACTAATTTTGCCATCATCACCGGTTGCTATTGCGGTAAGTGCTATATCTCGTTGCAACTGTATTCTTTGGCATTGTTAATATGGTGCATTTTGAATCATGTGAATGGAAGGATTTGCGACTGTTTCCTCCGATCTGTGTTATGAGAGAAAGACAGAACATTTTTGTTGCATATATCTTTCATTATCTGTGCAGAGTTTCATCAACTCTGCATAGAAATAGAGCGTGCATATGTTTCTGCCATGTTTTGTTTTAGTAGCCACATGGAGCGTTTTGATAAAATAGAGAGGCAAATTGTTGAAGTTGGTTTGTAAGACTGTAGGATATAAAAGGAAGTATAATTTCATGAATTAGAAGTAACAAACTTTCTAAGTAAAAGGTCAACCTGGGGCTATGAAGATCCATCACGTGGGATCCAGCAAAGGGTTAAATGAATATACACTGTTGATCTATTATCGATAGCTTTACCTTGCAGTACAAGAGACTAATTCCACAACACGAACCTGCAACCTTTTATTCACACGGTAACAGTTTCAACTATTGTGTCAAAGCTCTCCTTCAACAGACCATTTGAATTATTAGGGAATGCTCCGGAGGTCTTCTAAGAATGAGAATAACAAGAAACAGAAAGAAAGTTCCTGTTAGCTGAACTTTGTTATATTTAGATTTATTCCATAGATTCTCCATTTGGTAAAACATTAATTTCTTCTTATTCATGAAAGATTGTTACCGAAGAAAGATACGAGTGTGCAACAGATGTATCTCTAGTTCGCATGTTTCCTCTGGAATATTACTTTCATGAAAAGAAAGGCACTATTATCTTAGAAATTCTTGGTTACAGAATGTTAATAATATGTCGTGCCCAGTGTTGTCAAATAATGGCCATGGCAGTGACATTGCGGATATCGGTGACTATTTTATGGCTCTATGCCATGGCCTGTGAAGGATGGGGTGCCATATGTCGGATATGTCGGCGCCATATGTTGGATTTTTTTTATCCACCATCGATAACACTTTACATGCCAATGATAATTTAAGCTAATAACTCATTGAATGACAAGTCCAAGGAAATTATCCAAGGATATTATAAATTTAAACTCCATGATTTTGACTTATGGCAAAGAGGGTAGGAAGAGACTTCTACTGAAATAAACAGAATAGTTTTTTTTCCCGCAAAAAAAGGAAAAAAAAGTAACAAGTTGATATTTAGGAATTCAAAATTTAAGTCCTTATAACTTTGCAAGTGGTTGCCTTCTTTTATCGCATTTTAACTCTTTGTTATTCAGAAAGACTTGTTAATCTCTATTTGCTTGCTTGAGGCAAGAATTTTAACATAAGATCAAGAATCTCATTTGTATATTTGTAAGCTTTTTATCATTTCTTTCTAACAAATGAGGTTTCCCTACTTTTAATAGTAATGGCAGTTAGCGTACAAATCTCCCTTTTTGATAAACTGAGATTTTTTAGAGTATCTGATTTTGTATATGTGTTGCATTTGTCAATTCAAGTGATTCAAATTCAACTCGGCTAATACAAATATAAAATATCTTTTAAATCAAGTTTGTTTTTTGGACTGAACTGGATTAGTGGTCTAAATTGTTAGGGGCACGTGAATTTGTGATTGCAACTAGGAAAACTGGACCTGAAGATCTATGGAGCTCTGGGATAGCGGGATTTGGTTCTGGTGCTCTTCTAGGGCGTTTCTATGGTATTGTTATGCTTTTCTCCTCTTATTCTCTTTAGCTATACTTGTAACTTTTGTTGCTCATAAACCACAGTTGTTTTTATCAGAACTATTTCCTAAAAGCTTACAACATAATTGCACCACATATCAATGTTCATGACCGTGTGATAGTATAACCATGCGTTACCTGTTCAATTTTGGATTAATTTTGGTGATTAATAGTTTCAAGAATTGACAAGTTGTATTAATTTATGGAATTTTAGGTGGTCAATTTGGAGCAGTTCGTTATTCTGTCATTTTTGCTGTTGTGGGGACAACAGCGGATTACACTATTCTGAAATTAAAAGATGTTTGGAGAGATTATAGTACAACAACATATCAAAATTTTGAGAATGCAAAGAAGAATGAAAATTTGTTAAGATTGCCAGAGTGGTTTCCTATTAAAATACTTGACGAGGAAGCACTTGCTGCAAAACGAGCACAGGAAGAGCAGTTTCTTGCACAGAGGGAAAGGATTCGTAGCCTAAGGGAGAATGGAGATTCATGAGAGTATTGGAATGAAAAAGCTTCCCATACCCTTAAATATTTTGTATACCAAAATTGCTTATTTTTATAGTTTGTAATAATGTACTTATTAAGCTGAGATTAAGCAATAACTTCAGCAGAGATTTTGGAAGAGTTAGAGTTAAGATTTACATCTTCACTTAGACAAATGAGTTTCCCTTCCTTCTGTAGACATTGTCCAATGAGTACACAAGGAAAGTAAGGATAATTGTTGTGTTTCATTTGGTTCGGTACTTTACAGTAGCAAGAAACTACACAATCTACGTCTATTTTTTTCCAAATATTTTCTTGTAGCCTTTCTTTTCTATTCCAAATCTCCCTTTATTGAATGGTTTATTCCCAAAGACGAAAAAAAAAAGAGCCAATAAACTAGTGATCCGCAGAAGAAAGGCTTCTATATGCACGATCACAATCATAATCATGTTGGATTTAATATGTCACCCTCAAATAATTATATACAATATTTTTCAATTTTAATTATTCCAAAATTACCTTTGTTAATACCAATAATTTTTGGATGAAATTTTTGGTATAGTCTTCGAAATTTTTGGTACAAGCAAAATTTTCGATACACCCCTACAAAATGTCTAATTTATATACATTTTCGGTAGTGTATTTGAAATTTCTGGCATTCTGGAAATTTCAAATTTACTAGACAGTATTGAAAATTTGAGTTATATTAAAACTTCAGATAGTTCATTTATTCATGTTTTATTTAATGGTCGAGATTTTGTCGATATTTTTAGAGGGCTCTGATTGCACCGACAAATTTGTGTGGTCTAGAATGCATTGTCATTTGTATAAATAAGGGCATATGTTATAGAGAAAAAATCTAAAAAAACGCCTCTTCCACAATTTCTGATAAAGACAGAAGTATATTACAACAGAAGCAATCCTGATGTTGAATTCAAGTTTTCAGATGACATCACATCCCTTCCCACCTTGAAAGAAACGTTGAATGCATTGCTGTCTGATTCCGATAACAGAAAGGTGACAAAGATTGAGTTTCGGGACCATTATATTGATACAAATGATTGGGTGAAATACAACTTGATTGAGTTGAAGACTGATGAAGATGTGAAGGCAATGTGAAAAACATTTTGTCGTAGGATACTTAAAGGTCCGATCGAGTTGGATGCAGAGATACGAAGATCCGTCGACGACATAATCAAGATGTTGAAACGTCCAGAATCATCCGTTAGTGTCTAGGTTTTCAAGTTTAATTGTTTTTAGTTTTTGATTGTTGTACTGTTTTATGTTATGTTCATCATCGATTCGAAACATGTAATCGCCAAAATATTATGCAATAAATAAGAAGTCTGTGTGTCACAAAATATACATATAATACAACCAAAATAAAACAGATCTACATATATCTTCCACGGACTACGTCGGGTAACCTAGTTAAACCTGTATAAATCTCACTGTGATACGATTGGAGAACTGACTTGGGTTTTTACGTTTGTGTTCGCAAATGTTTCGGTTTATCAAGAGTCGCCACCGACTTTTTATTTTATCCTAAGGAAAGGTCAAAAAGCACATGAACGACCTTTGAGATGTTTTCGTGGGTTCGGGGGATAGATTATGAAAAGGGAAGGTGCTAGCACCCTTTTCATCCATGGTTATCCATGAGCTCTTAGTTACTTGTTTTTAGATCACTTGCCTTTTCTTTTCAATTGCTTGAAATGGTGTTTTGTGTGTGTGGTTTTTGAAAATGTTTTGAAAAAGATGCCTTGTCTAGACAACCTTTGTAACAATTCGTTTGAATGTTTTACAAAAGGTGTTTGTCTTTTTGAAAAGATGTTTCAATGTTTTTGAAAGTTTGTTTGGAAATTGTGTTGTGATGTGTGTTTGAAAAATGGCAAGGATGTTTTGCAAGTTTGATCAAGTAACTAAGAGTTTGTCTACCCTATTTTACTCAAAGATCTTTCTCATGTTTTTAACCCTTTTAACAGTGTTGTTTCACCATTGTGTTTGATGAACAACCTTGTGTTAGGATGTTTACGGGACATGCGCATGTCATTTGTATAGTCATAGAAGGCAACATATGGGACATTTTAGCAATGTCGTTTTAGGGGCTAGATCGTTTACCGAAGGCAACATCGAGGGTCATCGAGGGACTAACGATCTTTTATCGAGGGTCTTTGCTAAAACTCCCATGCTCAAGGGACATGACTATATTCCGAGGCAACAAGTGAGATTACCCTAAGGGTGCATGTGTGCAAAGTGTATTTTATTGCATGCATTTGTCTTTGATTTTTAGGTTGTCTACTTGTTGGTTTTATCTTACCATACACACCTAGTTACTAGCATTTGTACAAAAGTAACAAAAAGTGCAAAAAGTAAATCCTACACTATTACAACCATATTGAAGTGCATAGAAATGTAAAGGTAAAAATAAAATAAAAGCAAGAAAAATGAGGGTCTTTCGATTCAGACAGCAGCACCTTTCGACTAGCATTCTGTTGGCCTCCTTCGATTGGGACCAGTGGGACAGCATGTTGTGCCTTTCGACTGGGCCTGGAACCTGTATAAGATGCAATCTGCCTTTCTGTCTCCTTCGACTGGGGGTTGAAAGCAGTGAGGGAATGTCTTTCAATTAGGGGCTGGAAGTCAGTGAAGGCATGCTTTTCGTTTGGGCCTAGAAGTCAACATGATTTTCCTCCTGGTTGTCTCTTTCGTTTGACCTGGAGAAAAAGGGTAGAAGTCAGAAGCTTCGTTTCCTATTTCCTGTTTCCTGTTTCTTTCATTTAAAGCATTAAATGACAACATGGCCTAAGGCCACGCTAGTATTTGTTTGGTAAACAGTTTAACAATTAAAGCAAGTTCAGGTAAACAGAAAGCAAAAACGAAAGGGTTTAGCTCTGAAAACATGTTAAAAGAGTGGAAACGAAAAGAACCAAAGTATTATGTACATGTTTTGAAATGAAAGGGAAGATTATTCACATACTATGCCATGAAACGAAAGGTTCAGGGGTAAGAGTGACTTACCTTGCTTCAGGCCTTGAATGGATGTGGAATTCGAACTTGAACTGCTACCTGGACGTTTCTGGAATTCGAAGAGTAGTCACAGGGGGTTTGCTTTTGGTTTGAAGAGTTGTCACAGAAGGTTGTCTTTGAGTTTGAACAAACTTCTATGTGTGGGGTGTTCTTCAGAATCGAAAGAGGTGAGTGTTTGGGATTATGGGTTTTGATTTCTCAAGTGTTGATGAACTTGAGAAGTTTTGTTGTGTTTGAGAAAATTTGGGAGATTCGTTCCTCTGGTCCCAAAATCCTCCTTAGCTTTGCATAAATTCCTCTCTATATAGAGAAAGAATGGACATGTTGTCCAAAGCCAACCTTGCAAATAAATAATAAAATAATGTAACGTGACAGTACATGTGGGGGGCCTCCTGGAAGTTGGGGTGCAGAAGATGTGACTTATGCCTCTGACGTTGCTTGTGCTCAGACCAAATTCAGGTGGAAAGCTGCTTTTGTGATAAAGTACTCTCTATGAAAAGAAAGAGTATGTAGTCTTTAACCAAGAATAGTAGTATCTAAAAGACAAAGTTTAGAACCTTTGTACAAGCTTATGACTATGTAAAGATTTGGACACAACACAGCCTGAAAAACGAGATTTGGTCTTGTGTCGAATGCAAGAGTGAGATCGAAGCACACCTGTTTGAAGGAAGCCTTTGCCTCAGTCGAAGCTTGTGGTCGAAACAAGCTAACTCGAAGGAAGCTATTGCCCAATCGAAAGCTCATGCTCGAAGGAAACATATTGCCCAATCGAAAGCTCATGCTCGAAGGAAGCATATTTCCCAATCGAAGCCTGGGTCGAAGCAAACATATTTCCCAATCGAAAGTCCGTGTTCGAAGGAAGCAATGTTGCCCAATCGAAGCATGTGGATTGAAACAAACATAAAGGGAGTCATTTCCTTTTAGCGTGAGAGAGATTCCTGGCTTCTGAGTCGAAGGGTATTCCCAAGTTGCATTCGAAGGAGGCTTTTGCTAAAAACGAAGGATGTAATCCAAGTTGCATTCGAAGGAGGATCTTGCTCAACTGAAGTTTTCATCCAGGCACACAGAAGGTGAGTGCCCAAACGAATACTTACCTTGCAGGGGGTACATGTGACCAGTAGGTCATGGCCTTCGATTGCAAGCATGCAGGCAGCAAAAGACACAAACAAAACCTGCAACAAGAAGTCACATGCCCAGGCGAAAGAGGCACACTAGCATCGATTTTGAGCAATTGAAGGAGGCCAAGAGTCAATCGAAGGATGCTGATCGAAAGAGGCCTAAAGGCCAATCGAAAGAGTTGAAACGAAGAACACTTGTATTTCTCCAAATTTTGTCAAAATAATATTTTTATTTATTTTCTCCCTTTTTGACAGTTTCTTTTTAATTTTGGTACTGGAAAATTCCAAAGTACTTGTGCAAGATTGAACCTTGAGAATCCTTGTGAGAAAGGCCTTGAAGAATGAGAGGGCAAATTTTGGGGTACAACAGCTGCCCCTGTTCAATCTTCTAACACCTGAAGAGTTAGATTGGCGAATCTTCCATTTGTGACTTGAAGGTGGAAGATGATTGAACACTAGAGTGCCCAGAAATTTGCACTCGATGATGTGATGGTAGAGGGAATGGGCTTAAAGATGCCATTTGGAGGGGTGATAGAATCCTGTTGGAGATGGGCTTGTAGATGCCATCCAAGAATTCCTGTTGAATTGTAATTTTGTAAGTTGAAAGAAGGAACCTGTGTAGGGTTGCCTGATGATGAGTCCGTGTAAAACTGCATCTTGGAAGGAAGGAACCTGTGTAGGGTTGACTGATGATGAGTCCGTGTGAAACTGCATCTTGGAAGGAAGGAACCTGTGTAGGGTTGCCTGATGATGAGTCCGTGTAAAACTTCATCTTGGAAAGAGAAGGAACCAGTGTAGGGTTGCTTCATGATGAGTCCGTGTAAAACTTCATCTTGGAAAGAGAAGGAACCGGTGTAGGGTTGCT